GGAAAGAGAAATAAACTTTTTCGATGAATCAAAGTCGTCCGTTATTGGTCGTCGTTAAACAGTTCCCGTGCGGTTATTATAAACATTTCGAAAAAGTTTTATTAGAAAGATCGCTTCAGAATAATGTATTCTACAACCGTATAATGCTCTGATGCGGAAGATACGGGACACGCTGTATATCACACTGATTTCCCTCCTCTACAGAAAAATGTTGCTATACAAAGAACGATTAACTTTGCTACTAGCACAACGCCTCGATGACAAGTAGTAGATTACTCTAATATTGTCAAGAAACAACCACAACAAAAAGTCACTGGAACTAGTCTCAAAAACACAACAACGATCTCACTAACTGCGCAATATAGAAGTCTAGAAAGTTCCACAAAAAATTTGATGTCTCCCCAGAAGAAAAACATTACAACAAAGCAAAAAATCCTCAAAAAGATACCTGGAAATATGTCACAACAAGGTGTAGCATTACCAAAACAAGTTAGAGCACCATTTATCTTTACGAAGCAATCACATAACCCAGCAACTGAGTCAGAAGGAGAAGAAGCGTTTACAAATTTAAATAATGTAGTTGAGTAAACCAGAAGTCAAATTAATTTCACATACTATGATAATATTTCAGTTTCAGCGAATAGAGTACACTTAATATGTGTTTCCATAAACAATATCATCATACTGGCCGGGTACATCTCCCTAGATGTTTAGTTCGGCATAGAGGAATGGGAAGAGCTGCTCAGAGAGATCCCACATCGATTTCGTATTGATGGGGGATTTTAATACGCACTTACCAGCATGGAATAGCGCACATTTAATAAATCAAAGGGGTAAAAGTATTACAAATAGTTATAGACAAATACAATCTATGTGTCATCAATGATGTGTGATAAGGACGAGTGTGTGGGGACTTTATTTTATTCTGTTATTTCTAATTTGAGTTATTACTATTTTTCTATTTTTAATTTAAAGTACTAAAGTGAAGAGTTCTTTCTTCTTTTCTTACTTTCTGCTCAGTGAATTTTCTTTTTGTGGAGTTTTTCTCTTCTTGCTTATTGCTCAATTAGCTTATAATTTTTATCGGACCGGCAGGAAGAACACTATATATCGTTAAAAGATAAATTAATAAAAATTTGAATCTTAAGGTGCTCCACCAAAAGGTACTACACCTATACATTTACCATTAATAAACTTCATTCAATTCTTCATTCTTTCAACAGGGAGCATAGTATTGTATGGCAGTTCCAATTGGTCTAGTATTAATTAAGTTTGGTTATTATGTACACTGTTGGAAATAATCCACGAGCACACCCTGTATAATCTGAACGCGTGTGTCTAGCGCAATAAAATTTGGTATGGAAGTAGTACTAAAGTAGTGTAACTTACTCTCACAAGGAGAGCGGCACAACCCTGCTGGGAGGAGAAACATCAATAGCGAGAGTATCCCCCGTGAGCTTCGCGTACCATCGCTACACGACGTGGCATGGAATCTATAAGTCGCTGTATTGTAGCAAAAGGGATGGCCAACCATGCCACCTCAACTCGCCTCCATAGCTCCTCAACGTTAACCGAGGAAGCCGGATAACGTAGAAGTCTCCGACCAGTCATGTCCCAAACATGTTCGATTGGATTCAGATCCGGAAAACGAGCTGGCCTAGGAAGCATTCGTATACGGTGCTCTTCCACAAAGGTCTGTACAATACGCCCGATGTGCGTTCGGACGTTGTCATGCATGTATAGCAGACCTGGGCGCCGCCGAACGTAGGGAAGCACAACGGACCGTAGCACCTCATCTAGGTATCGTTGACCCGTCATGGTCTGCTATACAAGCAACAGACGTGTACGTCCACCATGTGTAATAGCACCCCATACCATAATGCTCGGTTGTTGGTGGATAGGGCATTCTTGCACGCACTGCTCGAGTAGACGATCACCACGTCTCCGATGAACTAAAATTCGCGCATCACCGATGCTCAATTCGAATCTTGATTCGTCGGAAAACAAAATGTCCCTCTACTCGGCAACCTACTAATGCCTAGCGTCGACCCACTCGTGACGTATGCTGCGGTGCTCGGGTGTNACTCGAAGACGACGACGGGACGTTTAAATATTATCTCTGTCGTTTCGGAAACGTGGAGTAGTAAAAGAGACGTTGTTGGGTTTCCCGTTCAATCGGCGGTTAAAGGGGGATGGGGTTCTTGGGGACAGGGGTTTCCCGCAGGATAAATAACACGGCCGAGAGTAAAGCAGTTTAGTTAGTTTAGGAAATGGAGCGGGTGTTTTCGTAGCGGGATCCTCGTCGTCGTCGGTCCTCTCCGAGTCCTGACAATTCCCGTTCGCCGCCGATTCCCTCGGTTTTCAGTTCGATTTGATACAAAAATCCCCCCAGCATGAGATTTTTATTTTTTTACCTTTTTACTTACTTTTAAATTCAAAAAAAGAAATCAAACGTTATCGGTATTTAGAATGAAATATGAAGGTTATAATATTTGAATTATTAAAAAAGGGTTTTGAAGTGAATTTAAATCAGTTTTAGTCACAAAAAATAATTAATCCATCTTAAGCCACGTTTATATTGAATATTTGCTGAGATTTATTACTACTTTATTAGGTGGACACCTCACTGCGACCATAGAAAAATTTATTCTCCCTACTATTTTCTGGTACATTCAGCGCTCCCATGGGGATTGTGAGGGAACTAATTAGGTTAAAGTGCGAGATTTAAATATACAGTGATACATTAAAGTCTACATACACCCAAGAAAATGATAATATCTCATCTCCTGAAATGTAATTCAATGAATTTTTTAAACGAAGGATATTAGAAGTCTATGTTATTTTAATACAAAATCGAAACAGTTCGACTTGTGCTACGAAGTGAAGGCTACAGCAGTAGATTTGGTCGCATTTAGTCTCTCAAGACGGCTAAACCCGAATGATTCTAGTTCTAGGTATTGTGTTAGTTCTAATGATAGTGCAAAACTAGAACTAACACTAGATCTAGAACTAGAAACATTCGGGCTTAGTCACACATCTACTATTTCGAAACATTTTGAACAATTTTGATACCTTATAGACCAATTTTGGACAATATTAGTGCAGTTTTCAGTCGTTGTGAGCAATCTGGACTTGCTATAAACTAATCGTTATACATTTAGACAAGTTTTTAATGACTATCAACTAGTTTTCAGTCATTTTGAGCAACATGGATTATTTAAAAACTAGTTGTTAATCATTTAGACAAATATAAAATTATGCTCAACCAGTTTTCAATGATTTGGAATAACATGAGATGCCTATCAACTTATTTCCAATCATTTTGAACAATTTTGAGCAACCTAAACTTGCTATAAACTAGTCCTTATACATTTAGACAAGTTTTTAATGACTATCAACTAGATAAATAGAAACAATTTTGGACAATGTTGGTAGAATTAACACTATACATAGAACAAAAAATATTCAAGGTTAATGTTTTTTATCCCATCTTGTTTTTTTTTGATATAAATGCATCATGTGATTCAAAATGAGCCCAAACATGATACGTTTAATTCCAATATTACTCGAGATATAAGCAACTTCCGGTGCTTATACGGTTTTTTTTACTGTATGTAGACTTTTTTGAGTTATAGATATGATTATGTTTTGTGTTTCTCTTGATATAATAGCTTATATAGTTTTTATGTAAAATATGGAAATAATATGGACTTCTTACATGTTTTGTTAAAAAATTTCATTGAATTACATTTCGGGAGCTCAGATATTATCATTTTCCGGGCTGTATGTAGACTTTATTGTATCACTGTAGGTATTCCTATACCGGTTTATACCATTATTTTATTTTGAAGAGGTCAAATGCATTTTCCAAATAAATAGGAATATATATTGCTCTCATTGGCTAAGACCGGTTTATCAATATCTAGTTATGTCGATTTATCTGTCGGTTAAAATTGTATCTAATAGATAACGTCGACGAATCGTTTATAGTAGAAACCACGAGAGCTGGCAGTGACAGATCGCTTAAAAATGGTATGAATCAAGATATGGACGTACGACTTAGATTATTTCACCACACACATATAAATGTAGGTTATGTTAGTAATGGAGGTTATATGTCAAACATTGTCAAAGATATTAGCTAATGATTTTCCTTTGTTTCCTTTCAAGGAAAACATTTTCGGCTTGTGAAATCACTAACAGATTCATGTCAACGCTGACAAGACGTTTCGATTTGAGGTTATAATTATAGAGTTACATCCCTTAGAAGAACAGACGTACCTTTTCGGCGTAGCCATTTGAATTGTACAGCAGACATATTAAACTAATGCTATTTCTTTCTAACACACATTACTCTCTAGCGGTTTGTGAACTACGTATGGCATTTCTAAGAGCGGAAAACGATGATTTACTGCCAGCTCTCGTGGCGTCTACTATATCCACCCGTAGTTTAGGGTTATCTTTTAGATAAATATGACATTTGGATACCCACCAGATTGAAGTACTGGTTAAGGTGAACACGCACCTAGCCGCACGCGACGCACGAAACGAATTTTAGAATTTTTTATATGATATCTTATGTAGTACCGCACACCTATCCGCACCGTACAGCCGCATTTTAATAAAATGCTGTGGATGTACGAATTCAATATATGAATACGAATGACGTCATCAGAATCACTACGTTCGATGTGTACAGGGCGATTCTGATAACGTCAAGTAAGTCAACTTCAACGTAACTTGACTTTATCAAGATGGAAAGTACCCTTATTTCTCTTGTACAAAATTATGAGGAATTATATAATTTGAAACATCATAATTATAGTAATCAACAGCGACGAGATAATATTTGGGAGGAGATTGACAACATTATGAAATTACCTGGTACGTTCGTTTATTAATTGTAAACGGTATTAGGTTTTAGTTCATCATCTTGTTTCTGACGGGAACAGAATTTGAGTATGCGATTGTATGTATGTAAACTAATGTTATTATAGTTATAAACTTTTTTATTTTTGTATTTACATCTAATCTTATTTCACATAGAAAGTCAAGATCGTAATAAAGCGACATTCGTCGGTAGTTTTCTGGCTTCTCTGTATATCAATGTAATTTTCCTTCTCGAACTCTTCGACGCTGCCATTCAACTGATCCAACTTCTGAACAAAAATAATCCTTGAATGCATTTCTGACTGCTAAAGCCGTGGTCCTTATGTTTCCTCTAGCTCCCCTCATGTTCTTTATTCCACGCATGTCACTCAGCCTTACATGATCATTTTTCGACCAGTAACATATGTCTTCTCTTAAAAAATTATGTAAAGCACATATTGCTAGGATAATTGTTACAGTGTGATCACGAGACATATGTAGTTTATGTTCAAATAATCTAAATTTTCTTACTAATAATCCAAAAGCATTTTCTACCGTGTTTCTTGCGCGGCTTAATCGATAGTTAAAAATCTTCTTTTCTTCATTTCCTTTTACATCATCACGTGAATACGGCCTCATTAAGTATGTACACAGTGGGAACGCTTCATCCCCAACGATAACGTGTGGTAAATTATTTCCATCAGGTAGCGGTTTTGGTGGGGGCATATTAAAGTTGCCTTCTCTGAGACTTTGTCCCATATTTGAATTTTGAAATATTCTAGCATCAGAATTTTTGCCGAAAGCACCAACATCTACCGCTATGAATTTTTTATTTGCATCAACTAGCGCTAGTAACACAATGCTAAAGTGTTTTTTATAGCAGAAATAATTAGAACCACTATGTTGTGGTGCTTCGATCAATATGTGTTTCCCATCAAGTGCTCCCACTGCATTTGGGAAATTCCATCTTTCCCGAAACTGTGCTTCCGATGAAAGCCACAAATTCTCGTTAGGTGTGGGCATTACGATTGGTTGTATAAAGGCCCAAATTGCTTCACAGGTAGAGTATACTATTTCTCGTACTGTAGTCTCGCCCAATCGATAGTTATCAGCTAAAGATGTAAAAGAATTCCCGGTTGTCAGAAACCTGCAAAATTATTTTATTAGGAACGACCCTAGGAGCTTAACTCATTTTTAACTTAAAAATTTCATGTATTTCATACGTTTGCAGATATAACATGTAAAGATAAATGGCAAAGAAAAAGGGAAAACTTTCGGAAAGCTTTAAATCTTCGCAAATGTAAAAGTGGTCAGTCGGCAGATAGGCTCAAACCGCCAAAGTATTTTCAGGAGCTGAGTTTCCTAATTCCATATTTAAATGACGAAGAGAATCGGAGGTCAAACATATTAAGACCTATTGGAAATCATTTGGATATAAGAAGTCCAGACTTATTAATTGATTCTCCCGAAGGGGATTCACAAGTTTCCGATTCGTCTTCGTCAAATTTAAAAAAGTCCACTCCACTTACATCTCAGAAACGGAGATTTACACCGTATAGAGCACCATCAATCAACAACCAACCGACCACCGCTGCGACAGTGCTTCAAGAATATTTATCGAAAACGTCAACAAATTCAGGCTCGTCGCAAACTCCGACCTCAGATCCGTTGATAGATTTTTTCATGACAATGGCAAAGACTGTTAAAAGATTCCCAGTCAGAAAGCAGCTAAAGATAAAAGCGGACTTGTTCCACATGGTTCACAATGTAGAACTAGAACTTAGCAATGAGGATGCATCTGGTACATCGACAGCACCAGCTCGAGAAATATCTGAAGAAACAATTCAATCCCTACCTCAATCGAACGATTCTACTTTATCTGTTAATTCAATTCTATCGAATTCGAATGGACAGATGAATAACAGGTATTCATCTGTCAAGTCGAATTTTTAATTTAAACAATAAAATAAAACTAAATATATTCTTACCTTAAACAAACAACTAGTTTTTCTTCTGGTCCAATTGCCATCCTATACCTTGTATTTTGTCTAGTTATGTGCGGTTCTAGCATACCTAACAGCTGCCTAAACTTGAGAGGAGTCATATGGAAATACTTAAAAAAACGCTTATCGTCTTTTAGTAAGTCAGGATATAACGAATAGTATTCTCCAAACCATTGCCTTTTTAAGTTAATACTATGAACCCAAATTCTTTTTTCCCTTTGTGGTATTTCGTTTTCTTCATCCTCTATTAATAAAGTACTGACAATAATAGGGTCAATTTCCATTATACGCGTTCACTTCGACATAGACGTATAGACAGAAATGACACTACATAATACTGCAAAGCGGTGCGAACAACGCGGTTCGTTCGATGCGGCGCGTGCGATTCGTGCGGTGCGGCTAGGTGCGCGTTCACCTTTAAGGGTTTACCTATTAGATATTGTCAAAAAGATATGCGCGCAAGTTTGGTTGCTTGGTGAAAGGAAATGACATCGAAATATAACATAATTCAAAAGTCAAAAGTAAGTTAAGCTATTGTGGTGATGGATAAGCAGGAGAAAGTGAAAAGATCCTCTAATTTTACTAAAGCAGAAAAAAACTTGCTGAGTGATTTGGCAAACAAATATAAAAATATAATAGAAAATAAGAGAACCGACGCTGTACCATGGAAACAAAAAGATGAATGTTAGGGTAAAGGTGAGTTTAGACATGCATGGATTTAGTTGCGCCAGTTCTACTTGCACGCCTGTAAAGGTTTACATTACATGTGCCACTAGCGTGGCACATGTAAAAAATAAGTGACACGCCAGTTTCATTTTTAAAGTGTATTGCACAGAGTGCAATATGTTGAATGAGCTTTACGAAGCATGCAAAATAGTAGCCAAACTTTTAGTGGAAAAAAAGATAAAAGAAATGCAGAAAACGAAACGAAGAAAAGGTCGTGTCTGGGTTAAACCATGGATTGGTCGTCGACCTACTTTGGGTGCTTCTGCAAAACTTTTACCAGAACTCGCAGCAGAAGATTCTGCAAGCTATAAAAACCATTTACGAATGACTAAGCAAAATTTTGATATTCTTCTGGATTGTGTGACGCAACGTATTATAAAAATGAATACCCACATGAGAGATGCGTTAACACCACAATTAAAATTGGAAGTAACATTAAGATATCTCGCAACAGGAGATTCTTTCGCTTCATTGCAATATTTGTATCGTGTCCCAAAATGCACAATTTCAAATTTTATCTCTGAAGTTTGCCAAGCCATTTATGATGCGTTAAAAGACATTAAGGTAAGCAGATACATAATAAAACACAGAAAATAGAAAACCAACGTTTGTAATTTCGGTTAAATAATGCTAACAAATACAAAAATTTCTTAATTATTGTCGTCATACGATGAAGTATTTATTGCCTGTTAAAGCAGATCTGACTGTCTTGCTGAAGATTGAAACGTAAATTAAAGTCATCGTAAGAACAGTTTGAACATGGGTTTGCAGTATATTCATAACTACTTGATGAGGCAGATGAGGAAGGTCGTGATATTTGCTCGGAATACTGGGTATTTGACAACCGTCGTCGTCAAGATACGATTTTATGTACTCCATTGATTCCAAAGCAACTGATTCTGGTAGCTTCTTCAACGAAGAAGCCACTGACTTGCCAAAACAATCAAACTCATTGTCCTCTTCTCTCTTAGGCTATTCATCTAATTTCTGTACGATTTCTTGTAGCCCTTGTATAGATGGGTGCTACTTGTCCTTTTTCGAACTCTCTTTGGGACTGCAAAGTTCGAAGTTAGTTTTTGTGCGATTGGTTTTCTGGCCACGGATGACTCATTCGGGGAAGACGGCAGTATCTCGATAGTTGCTGACTGCGTATTTTCTAGAAAATTATTCAGTTGTGATTCTGATTCAATTTCCTAAAAATAAATACATAGTAAAAACTCGATATCTTTAAAAATAAACTTTAGTAAGTATTTTTAAAGTTATTATTTTCAGGTGACAAGCTCTGAACAAAAATGGAAGCATATTATTCAAGGATTTTCCACACGGTGGAATTTTCCAAATTGTGCTGGAGCTTTAGATGGAAAGCATATTATATTACGAAGTCCTTTCCATTCAGACTCAGAATTTTACAACTACAAGGGAACGTTCAGTATTTTACTCCTTACTTTGTAAAATCGTTAAAAATCAATTCATTCAATAGCTCGTAAGTCAGCAGTTTAACACGGCGAATGTCCGTTTAAGTGATTAGCCGATTTTTTAACGGAAGACAATAAACTAATCAGAAAAAACTTACTGTTGCATGGTAGTGTAATAAACGTAAGTGAATAATAAAAACTAATTGTTGTATTTTTTTATTTTTAAAACATTGTATTATGTTTAGATTTACATGCTTGTTTTGAAATTTGACTTACGTGGTATTGAAAGTTTATATAGCTTATGATTTACGTGGTATTGGTTTTTATTCTAGTTCTACTATAATAACTTCAAGATCGAAAAGAATGCTTCTGATGTGCCAAATTGATAAAAATAGACCAAATAAAATTGCCAAAGAAAATACCATTGGTCCTGATAATGACTCACATGAAAAAGAGAATCAAATTGCTGATTTCAATATAATGGATTTGCCGATGGATATTATCGATGACGTCAATGATAGCTTTTTAAAGGCAATGGATTCTGCTAATTGTGCAGATAATGAAGTGGAGCACGCTGTATATAATTTGCAAGAGACTGTGGCTACCGAGATCAATGTTCCTGAAGCAGAAAGTTAAAACGACGATGTAGGTCAGGACAGAGATTTTCGTATCAGTGAAGAGGAGAACCTAGAATCAGAATCAGCCACATCACTCACATCAGAATGTTTCAATCTACAAGATCAATCTAAAAGAAAACGCGAACTCGGTAGGAATACAAAAAAAATAAATCAAGATCTGAGGATGAAGGGAAAAGCGTACCTAGGATACAGAAGGCCACCTAATCAGTCAAAAACATTTCAGGACGTTGAAAGAGAAGACAGAAAACTTGGAATACCTTGCATTTCAAACTTTGAAATTGATGATTTAAAACGTGAAGAAGTTTTCAAAAAGTTTTGGTAAGGTTTATCGTGGGGTCAGAGACAAACATATCTGTGTAATTTAGTAAATAAAGTACCACCTCAGCAAAGAAAATCAGAAGGAGAAAATGTTCGAAAAACAGCAACTCTTAAATATTCCCTCAAAATAGACGATGGCATTTATCCTGTATGCAAAAAAATGTTCCTTTCCACACTGGGATTAAGAGAATGGCAAGTTTGTAATTGGGTCAAGCAAAGTAAACATGGAATCAATGACGAAAAGAATGAAAGACCAAGAGTTGGAGGCATTTTATCAGAACGAGCACCAAAAAATAAATTCATGAAGTCTTTTTTGCCGTCGCACTATTGCCGAAAAGACACGATTAAATTATATTTGGAGCAGTCGTTTTTTAGTATTGTTGACTTATACAGTGTGTCCCCGGATTGTGTCCCCGTAAGGTATAATTGACGATAAATTTATGAATTCAAATTCCATCTTTTGCAATTAAAGTCTGGATGTCATAAAACGAAATATAACCAAGTTTTACGTCAAATATCCTCAAAGTACCAGAGTTAACGCAAGAAGTTTGTTAACCGTTGCAGGTAAAGTGGTCTTTCTGAGCAATGTACAACAAAACTTGATTAAAATAAAATGTTTGTTATGTTAAATTATAGCGATATGCCGAATTTTATTAATTTAGCATATAAAAGAAAAAATTAGTTTTTTCTTGAAAATTTTTTTCTAATACAGGGTGCGGCAAAACAAACAGCGCAGTTTTGATGGGCTATTAAAAAAAATTGGCACAACCTACGAAAAAGTGGTTTATTCTGTTTGAGTCAGTACTACACCCCATTTTTTCACTTAAGTTTTAAAGATCACATCAGCAAGATGATGTCCTCCAGAAGCGATGCACTGATTGTGAGGACGATGCTTAAAAACCTTTTCCTTGAGGTACCCCCATAGGAAAAAATCGCAAATGCTCAAATCTGGTGATTTCGCCGGCCACCCCAGGTCGCCCCTCAGAGAGACAAGGCGCGCAGGGAACATTTGCCGCAGTTTTGTCATTGAAATCTGCGCTGTGTGGGCTGTAGCCCCGTCCTGTTGGAACCAAAGATCCTCGAGGTCTTGTTCTGTAGCCAACCGTGCGAATTCTGGCTCAAAAAAATTTTCGAGCATGGTAACATAACGCCGAGCGGTGACGGTTGTTGTACACTCATCCTCCTCAAAAAAGTACGGTCCAATAACCCCAAATTTGGATATGGCACACCATACAGTGACTTTCGGGGAGTGGAGAGGTCTTTCGTGAACTTGTCGTGGGTTGTTGTCCGACCAATAACGGAAATTCTGTTTGTTTACGACGCCAGACAGATGAAAGTGGGCTTCATCACTACTGAAGAACGTTGATCTTGCTGGGATACGGCCCAACATTTTTTGGGCGCGATTCACACGGTTTTGAAAATCTGGAGGCATCAACTCCTGAACCACCATAATCTTATAGGGATGGAAGAATAAATCTTTATGCAAAATCCTCCTTACAGAGCGGTCGGACATATTTAATGCAGTTACATGTTTCCGGGCAGAGCGTGTTGGTGATTGTTCAACAGCTTCTCTCACTAGAGCAACATTTTCAGGAGTTCTCACTGTTTTGGGTCTTCCCATACCCCTAGGCCTTTTTGTTGAACCACATTCTTCCAATGCACGAACCCAACTCGCGATAACATTGCGGTGCGGAACGGGATCACAACGTGGAATGTTTGTTATATTGTGTATTTTGTTTTACAATAAAAACAAATGACCTGAGTGAACTAACAATTATCATTTGATAGCTTAGCTTTAGCCTATTGTCAAATATTAATTGATCATGTTTACATTACAATATAAAATATTTATAGTGCAGTGCTATGGATTGGGGAACAACGGATTAGTTACAATGCAGTTTTAAGGCAATTTGAGGAAAAATTTGGATTTTTAGTAGATAAAAAACAATTAAGAGAGTTGTTAAAAAATTTTCGGAAACGGGCAATGTGGAAAATAAAAGGAAGGAAAAAAAGCTTTTAGATGAACATGATGCGGTGTCGATTGTTGCAGTAACGAACGCAATGGAATCTGTAAGGTATCTGTTGCGCCTCTCGTTCATAGATGTCGTTAGTGAGCGGTCGAAGGGACACACGTGTCGAGTTGTTACCCGCGAAAAGGGATCAGTCCGTTACGAGCAGCGATGACCGACGCTTCCAAGCATTATATTTGAGTTAAACAAAATAAATTAAAACAAAAATACAAGCTTTTCATTCAACTATATACAGTCCGCAACATTTTGGTCCTACGAACCGGATACGGGAGCAGTTTTCCGAAGAAATTGGTTATTACTAGGGCCCGGAACTTTTGTAACGGTACGATACGATTTACCTCCTCCACTTGTTCTCCTAGAAAAAGACGGTTGTTATTAGGCATATATATACTATCTCCTATATCGCTGACTCCCTATCTAAGCAATGAGTGGCGAGCGTTTCCATTAAAAGCAGACGGAATGATATATGTTTTGTCTTTGTCGTGCCCCCATATCGCGAAGGCGCTTGCGCGAATCGTAAATTTTTAAGAGTTTGAAGTGTTTCGCGCGTATTTTATGCAGCTTTGAAATGCAATTATTGTAGATAGTTGACTTTAATTATAAATTATCGTAGATGCATCAAATAAATTAGAATATATGTACTTTTGTGTGAAATTGACGTTGAATATTGCTTTAAATATCAACTTTATGTAGGTTGTTCATTAAACATTATATTCTTTACTTTTGTTTAGGCAACCCAAATAACAAACCAAATTTTATGTAACCATGACAATTTTGTCGATTTCAAATGTTATAAATAAAACAAGAAGCCATTATTGTATTAGATTTTAGGTTATGTTTATGTCAAACATTTATTTGGTGTTTTATAAACATCAAGGTCATCAGCTGCTATTAATTTTTAATTCACCGTCCAATAAGATAAAAGCGTACTCACCACGTGTTCACGCATGTCTCTTGAGTAGACGGGGGCACGACAGAGACAGATATATATATATCTGCACTCTAGTGTTTACACTCTTTTGCTGCCTTAGTCAGCGATATAGGAGATAGTATATATATGCTCTTAAGTACCATCTATTGACACAAATTCTGGCCATAATTTCATTGCTCTTCTCATGGACTCAGTTGAAAAGTAGAGGTCAGATTACAAAGGTGTCATCCACGTAAC